ACACAGGGATCCATTTACAAGCCACATCTATGCTGCGAAAAGCCAAACTGAGTGTTTTGTTGTTCTGGACCTACACGGATGATATAACAATAATTAACAGTAATACTACAGTATAACTTGAAGCCTAGTTGTGAAATTATGTATTGATTTATTTATGCAAGCAACAATACGAGGTCCTCTTTTCTTGATTATCGAGAAAACATGATGGAAAACATTTGGTAACAGCTTTGCAATTTAAGGACTTAAGCGAGTCTATATTCCTACATCGTTGACTACATTCTCATTTCCTTGTCCATCCGGCTAGTGGCAGAAAAAATGGTGCACATCCGAGCAATTACGCCATTGTCTGAAATTAGTTACGCTTCTTTAACAAATTGTTGTTTTCAAAGGACCATTCTTAAAACAATTAATGTTTCAACTAACAAGTTGCCGCTTGCAGCTACCAAAATGTTTCTTTTTTCATGATTACCTTGCGATGATGTCGTAAAATATTTCAAAGAGTTCTCAGATGAAGAAATCCATGTTTCCAATCAGTTTCCCAGATCCATTTCATATCTACCGACATCAAAACAACCACAGAGACAACTGCTGCAAAGCCTTGTCATTAGGATTATTATTAAAAGAATCAGTGCAACCAAATACTGTTGGTGTGAAACGTATACCGTATCGCCTCAAGCTCAGAATATGAAAAACTTTATTATATAGTGTTAAAGACCTGATACGACCCATTTACCAATACCAATATTCTCAAGTCATTTGAATGGCAATGAAATAAGCGTTTAGTACCAACAAATTGATGGAAACTTAATTTCTCCTCATATGCTTTCTTGGTAAGTTTCCCCCCGATTCATTTTCTCCTAATCAAAGTGATATACCTACTAGAATACAATGCCAAGACTCTGGTGTGTAGGTCCAAAAGTAATTGTACAAACAGGCTATAACAGAAGCGTTTGCATTATGCATGCTCTTCTGCAAATTGAATTGCCTGTTATCAGTGCAGGGTCGCCCTATCCAGTTAAGGGAATCGTAAGCACCCCAATGTCAAAATGGGATTAACTGGCCCCACACTCTCAACTCTAAGTAGATTGTTTATCTGAAATTTCTCAAACAAATGACTGTAAATACTTTGGAGAAAGACAGCGAAAAGGCTGCTTATTTTCATCATGTATATTTGATTTGCATATCTCAGCATAGAAATGACTCATTTTGGCTAACAGATTATCGGAATTCCCACAAATCGGACATGGTCACTAATTTTTCAGTGAACAGAGCAGAATGAACGACCACCCGTAGACCCCCTTGTCAGCTCTCCCAGCTTTTAAAGCCAATATTATTGTGTTTTCATTGTTTGCCTGAAAGCCTTTTAAATGAGAGAGAAAATAACTCTATCGTAGGGTTTGGTAAACTAGGAAAAAATATCCGCTTAATTGAAACATTACCAGATTAATCCAACAGCTTCCACGGATCATTGGGCATAAATAAAAAGAAAATATAATTGTCACGCTTACTAGCTTTGAAGTACTCATAAATATCTTATTTTGTGCGATCACTCTTCAACTTTAATCAAATGAGTGTAGGGAAAGTTTTAAACAGATTTCGCTTGCCATTAAGGGAACTCAAGCACAAAATGATTTTTCCTTAAGGCTTGTGATTTCACCATTGCCTTGTAGGAGATAAAATGAAGCTATCTAACTTTTTAAAAATTCCTGCAAGTTGTTTAAAGGCAAATGTGTAATGCAATTGTTGAGAAAAAGTACCAAAAGATTGGGAAATATTGTGATAACATTCTTGCATCTCACATTGGCAATACAAACCATAAATATGGAATCTACTGGAGAAAACTGCCTTAATTTCCATCAATTTTATTGGCAAAGTGAGTAGTCTCCATCTTGTAGATGACAAAAAAAATACCATTACTAGTTGATACCATTACTAGACATTGATTTCATTCCTACACTATTTCGTTCGAGCTCAATAATTAAATTTATCTTTTTCTTGGCAAACTGAAATAAACACAATCAGATTTGATGATGCTTCTTAAATATGAAAATTTAAATTAAACATGCAATAAAAAGTAATGAAATATTTCCTATGCTCTGCCTCTTCTGAGGTAAAAGGTTTTGCAAGCAATGCTCTGTTTACTACAGATAAATACCCCAATATTTTTTCACAGTTGGAAAATACAACAATTCAATAGTCACTGATTGGTAACTTTGCCGGCAACATTGTGACGCGAACAAAATAAAAGGAATTCTTTTGCTGATTTCCCAGATTCATTTAAGTCAGCTGGCCAGTGCGCGTGATTGAAAAAGGCAGTAATTAGATTTACCTGCCCATTAATTAAAGAATCTATACGAACTTCGACCTGCCTTCAGATTATTAAAGGGCATCTTTTCTTTGAGTTCCACATTAGTTCGGAAATGAGGTCTTACGAAGGTTCGCCTACAAGCAAGATGGCAGCCGAGCGTAATTGAGTCAGCCCGACGACATTAACAAGATAGCTCGACGTTAGACGCTGTCTTTTCCGTTTTAGATTTTTTTCCCTCTGCTCAACAAACTTCTTTCAAGTTGTCTATTCTTGGGTAACTTTGTTTCTATCGTTTATCGAAAGTAAAAGTGTGGAACAACGATACTATGTTTTAAGTTGCTGCCTTTTGTATGATATCAACAATCTCATGTTCGTAAGTCGAGCCAGGGACACAGGAAATCAAAGCACATTTTGATATGTTGCAATTAACGACTGAGTCAAGAAACTTGAAACATAATACAGAATTTTAGCAATTATACCCATTGCAATACAATTGAAAGTTTTCTGAACATATTTTTGGACATTAAAACCCTTAAGGATTACTCTTCATTTCTTATGTCACAATATTTTTACAAAATATTCCCCAGGAATATTCCAGATTGTTCTCGCCCCTCCAAACACTTTCAGCTATTCAAACAAAATCTGTGCAATTGGAGTCTTCTGTCAAATAATGAGCATTTAATTGTTTAATGAAAAATACATGTTGCTTAACCTAGTCTTTGTGTGTTGTCGCTATCCGTCAAAAACATCCTGCTTCCTGGAGCAAACTTTTGATGGCGGAAGTTGTGACTTTCCTAGTACCTAATTACATAATATGCAATATACTAACGACCATATTCTCATTAATCAAGCTCTGGACACCTCAAAAGAAAGGTTCCTTAATTAGAAATTGTTCAAAGCAGGGTCTGAAAGGGGCATCCCTGCTCTTATCATGAGCGGTAGGCATGACTCACACGCTCTCACAAAAGACGCGCCCCTGAATCAAAAAGATAAAGAAAATTAAGTTTAGATTAAACAAAAGAAAATCAGCAATTTCTTCCTCATTTTCTCCAGAGTTGTTGACCGACAAAATTCTCATTACTAAGAAATTAAAAGTGTTGGAAATTAAGCAGAAAGTTAAAGAAAATCACCAATGCCAACTCCAGTAGTGGTATTCAATTATTGTCAAGCCCGTAATCTGACAATTTACACTACAACACAAACCTAGCTGATTTGGCGATGAACTTTTCACTTTTAACTTTGACTTTAGCTCGTATTTCTAAATGATATGTTCATACTACCCACAGCTGTGCGCTGTAACCGGAAGAAGAATGATAGTGTTTTTCATAGTGCCATGGAGAATATATGGCATAGGCCTCTCTTCAACCAGCAGTGGAGTATGTGGCATGTTGACCGATGCAGCCTCATAATCAAACTCTCATCTGGACATATAACTTGACCGCTGGTCAATCAAATAAGAATTACTCTCAACAAATAGTCATGGAGCGAGGCTTCTTCAAGTCAGGAAAATTGGAAAAGGGGGCAAGGAGAGGCAATACTTGGACAGTGAAACTTGTTCCAAAATCGACGATAGTGAAATAGGCGCTAGTGAAATCGACGAAGGCGGCAATTGCGATCCTGTGGACCCTATTACACTTCCCTATCTTCTTTCTACTGGTCATTTGCCTGTCATCTAAATCCTTTGAGCCGAACAAATTCGGCTGATAAAGCCCCAAAACTAACACAGGGTCTAGGCTTGCATCCCAAGCTGTCACTCAGTCGCCGATTTCTCATTAACTGCCGAAGTCTTTTAATACGCTCTCTAATTCTTGCACCTTCCTAGGTAGGGAATTATCACAAAGTTGGCGGGTGCGAAATCAGCCCTATCTGCTGTTCAATCATCGACAGCCCAAAAATGATAATCATCGGATTTTCTATTACAGCCACTCGGCAAATTTAGTCATCCTAAAGTCATGAATGTTAATAGAAAAATATCAACTCCATAAGATGGCCCAAAAGGATCCTCCCATGTTCCCCCTACCAGAGATTTTTTTCACATTGAATCAGGCTGTTTTTTTATTGCACAACTGGCAAAGTCGCTGGCGAAAGTGTGGGTTTAGGTATTGCGTTGGATTATAGGCGCGTTTGGTTAATGCTGCCATTATGAACAATGAGATATTGAACGGGAGCCCTAAGTGACTGAAATTTATAATAAATGGAAGCAATGGAGGACCATCGTCCTTCTCCCTGCAGCCATTAATGCCACAAATCCTGCTAAGCATACCAAGGCATAAAATCAACACTCCTGGCATTTTAAGTGTGATTTTAGAAGGTAGATATCGTAATGTCATCATCGCAACGCCATTCTCTTTGACACTGGTGAAATAAAAACAATCTATCATTACCCCTCAAAGCTAATACTTTTCACCGGTTACACTGCACCGACACCCAAGGAAAAGTTATAGCTACTAAACTGGACTTGAGATAGGATTATTTTCACATTCGATCAGCAATTGTCTCATCATGGCTAATTCTATTATCCCTGACCATGAGAAATTTATCGCTACTACATAAACCTTTTCAGCTGAATGTCGTTCAAGTGAATTTTTTGGGAATGCCTGAATTATGTTTCATAATAAGTTCGCAAATAGTTTCAAAGTGGCTCGCTGTTGCAATGAAAGTGACATTATTTGGGCTGTATTTTTTCACTTACTGAAAGATGCTGAAATAGCCATGCCCTCATGATGTTAGTTGCAACTTTGGGGAAAATTCCACGTTTCTTTTGGCGTTTTGCTGACCGACTGTCTCCTGTTCCATCGTCCTCGCAATCTGTTCCTTCTGCGGACCCTACGCTATTGTCAAGGCCATCACCTGTCACAACAAACATTAAACATTTGAAATATACATACACATGTTGATCACACCAGTGAAATAAGCACCAAATCTATGTAGTTGACACATGATATGTGATGGCATGTTACGCTGGGACTTTGTCTGTGGTAACATTTACGTGTTCGATATCAACGATTATGTAAGTAATACAATATAGCAAGGCAGCAGACACATCATCACAGGCCTAAAAATGCACACTTGTAACCTTGAACTAAACCATGACCGTTGACAACTAATTTCTGGCGGCAATAAAGTCTTAAAAATAATAAATGATAATTGTTTGATAAACATTTCTCCTTGACAGATGCAAATGTTGTCAATTTCATATCGAAATTGACATGTTTAGTCGCCAACAGTCATTACGTTTAGTGTTGTAAGTACCTCCTGATTGCCAATACACAATGCGACAGATGCGTTCAAACAATCTAATCTTAGATACAAACTTGAGGGCATTTAATAAATGACACTTTCTCCAACCATGTGTACTTTTCATGCCAATCTAAACATGAACCAGTTGACTGAATGATTCTTAAGCCTTTTGCATCCATTGTTGCAAGGAAGCGTTATTGTTGCAGGGTTTTCTTTAGAGGTCAGGGCTTTTCTCACTGACAAATAGGGCATTTACTTTCCACAAATTGTGAAAACAATCTCCATTTCCTGAAAAGCTACAGCCTGATCGCTTGCGAAAAGAGCTAGAGGGAAAATTCTGCCAAAGAGCGAACCTCCATTGAGGGAGATCTGACAAATTTAATTTCTTCCACAAATAATCCATGGCCGAGAGAGTTTCATATGACGCAACTCTCGAGCAAGTGTGTTTACTGAAGTCACGGTTTAGTAACGTTAAGCAGTGGCAACAAACAACATTGGCGAACTGATTGAAAGGAATCATGGGTAATCCGACTAGCTTGCTCGTCAATTTGTTTCTTTTGTATCCTCCGAACAAACTTTGTTGAATTGGGAAAACTAAACCATTCGATTCCAATCACTGGACCAGTCCTGGGACTTCTTCAGTTTTCTTGAATCCATGACACAGGGGAAAAAAGTTGAACCAACATTTACCTTCATTTTTTTCTGCCTATAAAATTTGTTATTTCTAAAATCATTAATCAAGGTCTATTCATTCAGTAATGTTGACATCAGCAGTTTTTAGGAACAATCACATGAATAAGTTCTATTTGATCTGTTCTGGCATTTTTAACAACTTTTCAACCCAATCCATATCACTCAAAAGGTTCAGGTACTCTGTCATGGGGCATAATTTTTGAATATTTACAAAATTCCTATTACTTTCTAAAACTTACTCACAAGTTTAAGGAGTTACACTTCAACAAAACCAATACCAAATTCACCATGTCAAAATCATGTTAAAAGTTTTCAGGTTTAAAAATGTGAATGAAAATATATTCAAATTCACATCACAACACAATCAGAGTCACAGCGAGGAAATATATGACTATTGGTCAATTTCATTTGTTCTGATGGCATATACAGTGAGATGAATGTTTTCATATCCAGTCTATATTTTCAAGGAATTGACCAGTACCCCAGAGTGCAGTTGGAAGCCCAAACAAGCAATCAATTTAGGGAGGAAAGGTTGGCGGCCTCCTGCAGGCTGAGGGAGCTGAGCCCGGCCGAAAGCCTTTCCACTAGATCACCAAAGCATATAAATCACGCGATCGTTGCATGTAGACGCAATTGTGTCACTTTGGAAGCACACAATTTCAATATCCGCACATCGTTACGGGGATGAGGAGGGTTTTCAGCCACACAAGGGCCCAGGCTACACAGCCCCCAATCTCTGCTTTGAAAACTTAATTATGATTTGAAAAGATGAAATGCTGAAAGAGAGAATTCTCTGTGTTAAGATGTATTTTCCTGAACGTAATGAAAACTTCGAAACTGTTTCACCCTCTGCTAAGAAACTTTGTTCTTCTTGATGATGAGATTTTGAAGAGAGAGTAAACAACATTAAAAGCATTTTGTAAATAATGCATGTGTGAAAAGATATGCCAAAGTAAATACAATTTTCAACAGCTTAAATGAAGCAGTAATAATTAATTAAAAAATGAACTGAAATGACATAAAAAAATATTCATAACAAACAAAAATCATTACTTAGAAAAAGTGATATTTGTAAAATCCCTTTTTTCAAAATTAAAAGCATAAGTTCTAAAAATAAAATCTTCATGTCTATGAGTAATAAGTGACAAGCCACAAAACCTACTGTGCATTGATAAAGGGAATATGTTACTGACACATATAAATAATGGGAAAACTATCCTGGCACTCGTTAGCTGCGAGAACCATCAGCATCCAGAAGTAGTTTTCAGATACTCCATGCTTGTAGCAGGATGGATGCTGGATACCGCAGATAAAATTCATTAGGTATTTCTTGGTCTACCTAAGAAAGAGTCAAATGAAACTATCTGTCACTTCCAGTTTAAATCTCCATCCATCTTCCCTTCCGTCATCTTCCGTTAGTGTCACGATTCTTTGTACCAACTTGCCTAACAAGCCTCGCAGGAAATTCCCACATAGGTAAACTCAAATGTAATACAGGTAGAAAGGCACATCAAAAAGCATGGGAAACCTCGTAGGATATTGACAGATCCCAAGTGAAATTAACGTCAGACATATATTACAGCTCATGTCAAGAGGAATGTCTTTGAATCAGCCACTCACAATAAATCTCAATAACTTCCTTTTTTTCAAAATTATGCATTTTTAAATACTGGTATCGTTTTTTTTAAATATCGTTTTAAATTCAATTTCTGAAATGAATTTTCTAATCAATTTGAGCCCATCAATCATTATTGTGACAGTCATTGACATGTTTCATGTATATTGCATGCCGACTTCTTCTGACTGATGATCAGTGATGGGCAAAAAGGAACAACTGCATTGACACACCAGCCATGGACGTTTATGAAGATGGAATATTTGTATTATGAAATTATGAAATTCCACACTAATTTGGTCATCTACCCCACTGGCGTTCCCGTAGAACATCAAATACTAACACAAAGACATGCAGAGGTCAAAGTAAAGAGACTCACTCGATAGGAAAATCCACGATGCAAAATTGATATGATGTTTGCAAATTAGATTTACTATTTTCTCAACCATGTTAACAGGATTTTTTGCCCCAAATTGTGCTGCACATTAGGTTTGATTTACTACTTGCGAAAGACTGCAAGACATATGGTTCAAAATGGATTTTTAATGCAGTACTTAATTTTTTTTTAAAGTCGTCTACTCAGGGTAAAATGTGATCTTTCATGTGGCCAGGACCCAGAAAAGCATAGTAGAGCGGGGACATTATGTAATTTACCTCTCGGTAGGCTAAACGCTTTATGAGGAATTAATGTAGTCCCCAACCTATTCATGTGAGCATATTTCACTCCTCTGTATAATATACAAGTACAACTACATTCAAATTTCATTTTTCCATAGGAAATAGAAATTTGACAGAGGTGCTGACCTGATCCTTGAAGTAATCACCTCATACAGATTACAAGATCGTCGATTTCACCAACAAAATGTACGCATTTACAACATCATTGATGCATATTACCATTTGTCTGTCCATGGAAATTAGATCTGTATTTGTATTTTTGAGCATTGTATCTAATATGAAACCATTAGAAGGGGCCTTTCACAAGGATCAAATTACCTTACCAATTTGCCCTAATCCACAGAATTCAATCTCGTTACTATCACCAAGAGACAGACGCGGCGACGTGCACCCAATGTCGGCTTGTTACATGTGGGACAATGTCGACTACCAGCACCCGATTTGCTAACTGCTCCTTGCCAGGAGGTCGCTGGCCTGGGCCTGACAACACTGTCCTCCATATATTTATTGCTCGAACAATTGTACCGAAAAACCAACAATAGCCTCATTTATAGCAGTGATGGCGGAAGAAGGTGTGCGTTTGACAGCTGAAACTATCTCCCCGGCTATGTCGTTTTGTCGTCAATTGCGCACTGGTTTGAGTGGCCTGGTATTGGCAACACCATTTCCAACACCCCGGGATGTGGCCACGAAACAGAACTGATGCTGCCCACCGACCCGCTGGAGTCCTACAGACTGCAACTCTCAACAACAATGCCCTCTGGTGATAAAAGAGAGAACTAGCCCCAATGGGAGTATCGTTTTTCTCAACGCCAGACTTGCTAGCAGAGCCTGGATCATCACCTGGTACCAGGCCGACTCTCTCCGTGGACCCTACACTCCTCCCTACCCTCGTACTACCGGTGAAGAAATGCATAATTCATGATTTTATCGAATCAAAAATATGACTCTCGGTACCCTGGCTGTGTCCCTGTGCGGTTATCAAGCATCCAAGTCCAATGTTGGATGTAGTCCGTGCTGTCTCCTGGTCAATTATACGTATTTCCAGACCCCAACCTCTCACACATGCTTACTGAACTCGTAGATCATTCACAAAAACGATTAAAATCTTCCAGGGGATAAAAGCCAGTAAGCTCCCTTTATTCTTGTCAGTTAGATATGAACAGTCTGAAAAAATGCCATTGGCAAGCAGGCTAAAAGCCTAGCACTGAGAGTTATGATGCTTCATTGCACAATTATTTACTAAAAGTATCCCAGTGACAGCCAACTGACCTCATAGTAGTCAATAACATGGCTTGATGAATTAGCAAACGGAAAAACCAACATGAGCAAAAACTGTTTTTCATAGGTTGAGAGAAGGCATTAATCACTAACAGCACAATCAACATAGTGAAATATGCCTCCCCTTGTAACGGGATCCAGTATATAGACACTGCAATCAACATCACTCTTCCCGGCATAAATACAAGTATCCTCATTCCAAACACACTGGGCTATTAATCTTATCAAAATTTCAAAATTCAGGTGAAAATTTGAGAGGACTTACAAACATAAAAGAGCAATTGTAAAGTATTTTGGTCCACGAAACAATAAAATATTCATTCTATTCATTGCAGCGCTGTGT